TTATGAATTTATGGATGCAAAAGCAGGTCTTGTATCACTCCTTTTCCAATGTTATTTTTATTGGTTCTGTAATTGTCCCAGGTTTGAATGGAAGAATCCTTAAATTGGCCTTGAGGCTTTTTTTTTAATTTTATTTTTATTTGTTTTTTAATATATATTTTTATTGTAAAGATACTGTACAGAGGGGTTACAGTTACATGAGTAAGGTAATGAGTCCATTTCCTATTGAGCATTGTTACCCTCTCCTTTGTTTTTCCCCTACCATCCCTTTCCTTCCCACCACCCGTACTTCCCCCCCCCCACCAGTTGTAAAGTTCGTTTTCAACATAGTGTCTTACACATCTCATTGTTACAATAAGTCTGCCTGTATCCTTATTTAAACATTTTGTTATTCCCTTCCCCTCCCCCTTGAGGCTTTTCAAACACTTTAGTAATCTCTGGTTCTGATAGAACAGGATCTTCCAGAATCATTTTCTGGACTAGGCTGGTGATCAGCCATTTCTCTAAAGAGCACTCAATCCTTTTTATAGTTAGAGACCATAATCTAGGTATAGTCTAATACTACACCTAATACTTTTTTCTAAAGATCGTATAGTCAAAAGTTAAATAAGAAGCAATTTTTAAATCTATCCCTGATCTAGTAATTTTCCATTTACAGAGAAATGGAGAGATTGAAGAAAAGTCTTAATTCAAAATAGTGAAAAATGTAAAAGAAACTTTACTTTCCCTTAGAGCGTATATTTTCATTGCGAAATTGGCATCTCATATTATGTATTATAAACTTAATGTGGTCTTCTCTAGGTACCCCTCCATTTTATGCTGCAGAATTTTAGTATGTGCTGACTGAAAAAAGCAAAGCCCACTACCAACAACAGTGAATCTAAATCCATCCATAAATCAGTAATAAAATAAAATAACTGAAATTAACTCAAATTATCTGAAATGGTTGGGATTGGCAGAAGAAAACAAAAAAATTCCAGTCTTACATAAAATGCTTCTATCTGAGAAGACATTTCCTCATCCATTAATTGAGTTAGAATAAAAACTGTTTATAGGCTCTGTGTCTATTAATGCAAAACTTTATCATTATCTGGGTTGTTCTTTTCCTGTCTCAATTTTGAATATTTTTCAACAATAACTTGGTGCTAGGCAATACATTAGCTTGTAGAAATGGGGTGGAGAGAATTCCCAAGTTGCTTGTTTTTATACCCTCTCTGCTATGAAGATGTTTTCCTCATTTATAATTTATGTGAGTCTACTCTGATAACAGTCTTAAAATTTACTTTGGTGTTTTTTAATCACAGGCCTGTTCTTTTCTGAGAAGTGGAAACGTGAATGCTGTTGTTTGAGACTTTACTTGTTCTAATCACCTTTCCTTTGATGTGTAATATTTAGTTAAAAATGCTTTCTATTACCTAAATTATTTTGGATGAAATTAGTTTAAATTCTGCATTTTATTTGAACCTTGAAAAGCCTCTCACATTTAAAAAATGTGTTATTTATGGTTACCAGGGGTAATGAGTATATAATATTCCTGTTTATTGTTATATTTTCAGAGTAGTCTGTAAGTGATCTACTTAATCATATTTCCTACATTTCTTTTTAAATGATACCTTGTTCAAAAAATACTAAATATTCAGCTATAAAGATCATATTTTCCTTATTTAAAAATTGAATCTATTTTAATCATATAGCAAAAAGTAGTCAGAAATGTATTAAAATGAAATTGTGCAGGAAAGCACAATTCTGTTAACAAGAATATATTTGCAATAACTAGTATATGTCTGAGTCAAGCAGAAAAGATCAGATAAGTTGATGTTAGGGGAATGAACCCCAAGATAAGTATTCAAATGTTTTTTTGTTTTTTTTCCTTTCATGCAATTGTTTCTAACATACTTATAAGATGATTTCTTTGTTGCTTTATATGTCCCTCCCCCACGGTATAACCCATGCTTTCACTGTATTTGATGTTGTTATAATTTGTGGAGGGGAAGGGAAAAAACAAATCGTTTAACTAGGGATACAAGTGGACCCACTGCAACAATGAGATGTACAAGTTGTTATGTCCAAAAACAAACTTAACAACTTTGGTGGGGGCTGGGGGAGGACCGGGTGGGAGCTGGGGGGAGTATGGGAAGGGATGGGAAGGGGAAACAAAGAGAAGGCAACAATGCTTGATAAGAAATGTACTCATTAAGGAGGAGGCTGCAATGCTTGATAAAGGAGGCTGCAATGCTTGCTAAGAAATGTACGCATTATCCTGCCCATGTAATTGTAACCCCTCTGTACAGTATGTTCACAAAAAAAAAAATTAAATTAAAAATTTTAAAAAAAGAAATGTACTCATTATCTTGCCCATGTAATTGTAACTCCTCTGTAGGGTATTCTCACAATAAAAAAAAAAAAGAGTATATCTTGTTTTGTTGCTATTGGTGGTAGTGGTATTAGTGATAGTAGTACAAGATCCTCTTCAATGATTCAGACTTCATTTAGTCAGATTATCATAGTAAAGATTTTCCCTAGAGCTCAAGTTGTTCTCTGCTAATGATAATAACCATTTTGTGTTTTGAACTCAGGACCTGGGCAGTGTCTCTGAGATTTTTTGCTCAAAGCTAATGCCTTATCGCTTGAGCCACAGCTCCTTCCTCTTTTTTTTTTTTTTTTTTTTGATTAATTGGAGATAAGTATCTCATAGACTCAAACTGCATCCATCTCAGACCCTGATCACAGGTAGGAGCCATTGGCATTTGGCAGATTAAAACAAAAACTTTTCATAAAGAGATTGATTAGATATATCTTTCAGCTTGCAAGTTTCCATTTAGCACAATATTTGTAGTATTTTTATTTTATTTAGTTGTTTTTCTACCAGTCATGGGGCTTGAACTCAGGGCCTGGGTGCTATCCCTGAGCTTTTTTGCTCAAAGCTAGGGCTCTACCACTTGAGCCACAGCTCCACTTATGGCTTTTGGGTGGTTAATTGAAGATGAGTCTCCCAGACTCTTCTGCCCTGGCTGGCTTCAAACCACAATGCTCAGACCCCAGCCTCCTGAGTAGTTAGGATTACAGATGTGAGCAGCCAGCACGTAGCTCTAGAATTTTTATTCTATATAAACATTTACTTAATAGAGATAATTCACAAGGTTTATTACAAGATAGACTCAAAGACCATATCATGATAAAATTATTATTCTGATCCTGTCTCATTAAAGTCCTCTAAAACCAGTTCTTTATAACAGAATAGGCTGACTTTCTGATATTTACCAATCCTTTTATCTTGTGATCTAAAAGTTCCAAGTAATGTTGCTACTTTATGCAGCATACATTTTCCCCATGTGATTATGAATACGAATTCCTTCAGACCTCCTTTTGTAAAATACATGGTTTTTACTTCCTGTGTTCTTTCTGAGAATGATTACATTTTCTCCCTTATTCTTTGCTACTTCTCAAATACTCAATAAACATCCTGGTATGTTTGCATAAGTTTTTTTAAATTTTATTTTATTTTATTTTTGTCTGTCATGGGGCTTGAACTCTGGGCCTGGGCCTGTCCCTGAGCTCTTCAGCTCAAGGCCAGTGCTCTACCACTTGAGCCACAGCACCACTTCCGGTTTCCTGGTGGTTTATTGGAGATAAGAGTCTTGCGGACATTCCTGCCCAGGCTGGCTTTGAATCATTATCCTCAGATCTCAGCCTCCTGAGTAGCTAGGATTACAAGCGTCAGCCACCAGCGCCAGGCTTATGTAAGCTTCACCTTTCTACTCAGTGGAGTCAAGAATTGCTTACCACTTCTAATCTGCTTTTGTAATTGCCACCTTAGATATTCTGCTTACATCCTAGTAGGCTTAGTTATGTTCTTCTAGAACTGCTGTGTAGAACCCAGGAGCCACTAGCTTCTAGTAGCTGTTGGCTACTTCAAATGTGGTTGATCTGAATTGAGATGTGAACTATTAATATACAAAAAAAAGAAACTTTTAGCTATCAGAGTAACTTTTTATGTAATATTTGGCTATGTTATTTTATGCTATTAAAATTTACTTCACCCATTTATTTTTATTTTCTTTTAAATTTTTTTTCAGAAAATTTAAATTACATATGTGGTTCATATTGTATTTCTACTAGATAGGCTGCCCTAGAATAATGTAAAGCTAATTATTATACAGGCATTAAAATCCTTGTATAATAGATAGTTCTGTTCCAGACTTTTAATTCCCTCTAGATCCCATGGTCTGAACTATATGGGGTTGCTGTGGCTAGTTTGCCATGTGCCTGACAGTCTCTCTGTATGACTTGGGTAGACTTTTCTCTTCTACTGGAAGACAATAAGGAAAAAGGTTTAGATTGTCATCATGAATGAAATGATTGCCTCTGTGGTAGGCTGTTGTAGTCAGTATTACAGAAGTAACTTGAAAAGGATGATACTAACTTTTGGATCTTTAGCTATGAGCTTTGTAAATGAATGTTACATATAAAATAAACGTTAATGAGGAGTACCCAACTGTTTTTGCTACAGTAAACACTGTTATGATTTGACTACTACTTGCTGATAACACTATAATATGTATAAATATTAGAATAAGAAACATTACTGATGTAATTTTACTATTTTTGGAAATATAGTTAACTTACAATCCACATTAAAGTTATGACTTACAGTACTTGTTTTCTGCAGATTTTAAGATGTATATAAAAGACAGCAAACTCCCACTTAGAGATAGATCAAAACAGTTTATGTTTTAATCTCATGTAATTTCCTATAAGTGCTATATGTGTAGCATACTTGAAACATTACTTGGTTTTTAATATAAAATATTCTTTTTAAAGATCTCTTAGATTTGAGTTTGAATGTTGGAAATTCTCTAAATTACCTATTTTAAATTTCAAATGAACACCGATAAGAATATAATTACACTTATATAATATGGTAGCTAAGTAATAAAACATTTGTTTGATCATTACAGAAATATTCTCTTGTAAAATACCAATTTTATCCTAATTTTTAGGAAACCAGAATTCGAGCAATGGATAAAGATGCCAAGAAAAGACTCCATAGCTTCTCTGTCATCAACCCTGTTGCTGGACAATCTGTAACTCATATATTTTCAGTTGATAGTAAAGAAGATCTTGAGAAGTGGATGGAAGCCTTCTGGCAGCATTTCTTTGATCTTAGTAAGTAGATATTGGGATTTTTCTATCAGTATATTCTCATTGCCTGAATGTTTGCACATAGAAATCTAAATATTAAAATATTTTCTCTTAGAGCTTATAGCAAGGATGTTGTATGGTTTTGAATAAAATGTTAATATGTCATCATTACATTGATGTTTTTCTTTCTCTCTCCACCTCTTTGCAGTGTCTCGACAACTATTGTTATAGAAGTTTGCCTTTGAGTTCCTACCACCCCTTTTTTTATGCTTCCTTTGATCCCTAAAGCAACAGAACCCCGTTTTCTTAAAAGATTAAGATTTTATCTACTTAAGGTGATATATTTGATCTAAGAGATAAGCCATTTGAAAAACAAAATGCTTTTCCAGGGTACTAATCATCATAAAATATTGAAATGTTCAGAAGGAGCCCCAATTTTATGTAACCTTCTGTTAACTCTACATTTGTTATTGTATCATCTTGGATATCGCCCAGAGATTTTTTTTTTTGAACCTCATGTGGTTTTTCAATAATACAGTCTAGTGCCAAGAATTATATAGAAAACAATATGATAGTATTTTGGTTTGGTTCAAGTGTGAAAAATATTTGAGATTCTAATATTTGATTGTCAGTTTAAAGAAGACTTACAGGAAAATAATGAAATTGTAGCTTTTTTTGTCTTTACCAACAATTTATTTAACAGCATATTTGTTATCTAGAATTTTATGTTGAAAACATGAGTATTGATGATGGCTAATTCTAATTAAGTTAATTTTTATTAGATTCAATTAGCATTTATTATTTACAGTGTTGTCTTATAAAACTACAAGGATGTCATTTCCACATAATTTAAGGCTATTTTTGCAACTTACAGAAATAATCCTAGAGACATTTTAGGAATTAACATTTTCTGGAACATTATATCCAGTTGTCAGGTTAATTTGTTAGGCCTCCTGATTCATGACTTCATTGTGCTTTAGAATAAAGTTTGGAAAGGAGGAAAGAAATAATTTATTGATTACCTCCTATGTATCAAATGCTTTTAATTCCAATAACATTCCTATGATATAGAAGACATTTCAGTCCACTGTACAGATGAGAAAACTAAGATTTTAAAAGGTTGTAGTCAATGGTAGTGAGATAGAAAATTCCTTGTAGGATTTTTAAAAAAATTATCCTTAAGTTTTTCTATGAGGATTTTTTTCAATTCGACATGTCAGTTCGTGAGAACAATGCATCTTGTTCAAGTCACCCCTTTCCTAATTCTTTATCTCTTCTAACCCCACACCTCTCCTCAATTTTCCAAGTTCCATTTGCATATATGCATTGAATATTCTGAGGGCATTTGGCATTATTAAACTCATTACAATGTTGTCTTTAAATACCATTGCTAGGTTCTCAATAAACATTGAAGTATTTGTTCCATCTTTATCAGTCCCATCTTTGACGTCTGAGTGCTGAGATTACAGGCATGTACCATCATATCATGCCAACAACTTCCCTTCTTTTGCTAATCATAGCTGAAATTTTAACTGGTTTCCTAAATGCTCTGACTTGGAGTCTGTTTTACAAAATGCTATACTGTATTTAGAAATGATTCTGATTATTTTATACTTGTATGGGCCTAAAACAGAAAAGATGGCTATATGGAAGAAATAATAATGTCAAAACATTGTAGTTAGGGCATAAATTAATACTAGTGGATACTCTTGTTCTCTATATTATCTGAAATAATTTCTCATTTTGAAGTGAGGAGCTAGAAGGATGAACATTTCAGAGTGTGTAGTAGGAACAAGGAAATGATGAATGATGACAATGTGGTCTGGCTTCTTTGGTACTTAATTCCTTTCTTTTTTGGGTAAAAATTGATCATTCTATATAATTTTAAAGTTCTGTTACATTTACTTTGAAATGTTCTGTATATGGAAGTGTTTATAAGATCCTAAATTTTAAACTGTACTTCAGACTTTTCAATTTTTAGTGACAAGCATAGTCTCTTGTAATCTTGGTTGAAAAATAATGTCTAGCACAGAATAAAGATTGATAGCAGAAGAGAATTAAATGAGAATATTTCAATATTTGGAATAAACGTCAATTATTTGGTCCTCCTTCCAGGTGGAAACTCAGAAGGGTGAGATAATTAGAATATACGAGGAAACACTGTGGAAGTGGGTCTCTTGAGCCTATAGAATAGCGAAGGTTATGGAGGTTAGGAGCAAAGAACATATAATCACTATTTTTAATATTTGAAAGCTAAAAACTATATAAAAGAGAAATAATCCTTGTTCTGGATTATTAGTAGAGTAGAACTAGGAATGGTGGATCAAAGATAGAAAATTAAGATAGTCTTTGCATATTAAATATTTTTCAAATATTTTGTAATAGAAATATTGAGTTAAGCATTTTTAATTGGGGACATTATGACAATATTGTGAAAATTACTTTCAATACTAGAGATTGTTATTCAATCAAAACATATATTTATTTCATATTAACTATCATGTATATCTATGCATACAAAGTTATTCACTGGAAAAATCAGCATTTCAGTTGTGAATTCTTGACTAAAGTACAGATCGTATTTCTACCTCTGACATATCAGTAACATGTAGAATGATATGATATTCTAATTTGCAACATGATTAGTATTCTGCCTCTAGTTTAACAATGCAATGCTTTTATCTGTGAATGCACAAAAAAACCACAAGAATTTCAAAGAATTCAAGAGAATTTGTCCAAGAATGTGACAGAAAAATATTTGCCAGTTTTAAGTGAATCATTATTTTTCCATTAGATAAAGAATTTTTTTCCTGCTACCAAGAAGAAAAAAAATATGGCTTTTATATATTTGTCTAAAAAAAGGAAGTAAAGGGGAAAATGTCAGCTCTCAGTCCTGTTGGATTTACATTTAGAGAGCAAGCTTTGAAGCCTTCTGTTTGGAAATGTATGTCTTCTTTAAGTTTTAATGAAGTTATTTGTAAACTTTACAATATTCTCTACTTAGCTTCATGATAAAAAAAAAAATACAAAAAGGCTCTTATATCCTTCTTAACTAGTTAAGGTAGTGTGTTTAAAATTCATGCAGTAATACCATTTTGTCATGACAACACAATGAATACATAATTTAACTATGCATGAAATGTCTTTAATTTTTAAACCATGGAAAATAGCCAAGTTGGATACTGAATGTGTGTAATAAAAATATTAAAAAAACAAATGTGGAGCATAAATCGGCCTGAAAAAAGGCATAGGTATATTATATTATTTTTCTACAGGTATAATATATAAGAATAGAGAGTCTCAGTAACTTCTTTTTATAATATTAATAGACACAGTATCTAGCACAGTTTCTATGCAGCATTCAGGTGCATTTAAATTAGGAAAATTACACTTGATATCTACTCAAGAGAAATAAATCTGAAAATTTGAAGATTAAGGTGGTGAAACATAAGAGAAAATTAATAATGTCCACACATATTTTAATTGGATAGTTGAAACAGTTGTTCAAGAATATTATTTTTATCTTATTTTCAATGCCCATTTTTTCCAAAACAAAGTAGACTCAGAATTTTGTTGATTGATATTTCTTCATAGTTAGGCTTTTATATGTCTTTTTTTAAAAATGAAAACACATTGTTTAAAGCTATATGATTTTGAAAGCATGGTAATCTTCTTAAAGAGATAGTTGTTAAATAAATTTTATTTTCTCATTTAAAATTTTTGAGAGCTGCCATTCCTTTTTTTCTAATTCCTTCAAGACAACTGTATTTCAGCTTATAGTTACTTTTTAGCCACCTTTGAGTACTTAATGGTTTAATACTTAACAGCCTGTGTAAACTCCTACCATGAGTAGAAATTTTAAAGTAATTGGTTATTTTGTGAACTACTATATAGCCTAGAGGTCTTAATATCTCTATCTTCTTAAATAATTTTATACACAGAATTAGATTTTGAAATTATGGGTAGGACTAGCTTTTGTACAAGTTTCCTTAAGGCAATGTTGAATTTATAAATTCACTATTTACTTTTAAAGCAAGGATATATGTTGATATCTGTTCATAATGAATTGTATGTCTTCACATTTATGTCTTAAACTAGCCTGCTATTTTTCTTTCTTTCTTCCTTTCTTTCTTAGGCCAATGGAAGCATTGTTGTGAAGAACTTATGAAAATTGAGATTATGTCACCACGGAAACCACCTTTGTTCTTGACAAAAGAGGCAACCTCAGTCTACCATGATATGAGTAAGTGGGGTTTGTCTTTTCTAAGCTGCAGGGTAACAAAAACAACATTGTCCCTACTCAAGCAGCTTATTCTATTGAAATTAAAATGCTGAAATTTTCAGGGCACAATCAAATGAATGAAGAAAAAGAATATGATTATAGACTAAGGAACTCATGTTTAATAGATGAATTAATACAAAATTAATGAATACACATTTTTCATAGTTTGAATGCTCAAGATCAAACAGATTTTAAGACTTAAAATGAATAAAAGTGCACTGAGAATAAATATTAGCTGAGCTGCTGATGAACATTCAGAAAATATAAACTTGCAGATTTTAAAATAAAATTACATTCGGTGATTCTTTTTCTGTATTTTATTGTTTTTTTTCAAGTAGTGTTGATAGGTGAATATTAATGATTGGAAGCTTTCATCTCTAGCCAACAATAATCAGTTAAGTTTAATACTCTAGAAAATTTAAATTTTTCTAACTTATTTGTATTTCATTTCCACATGTAAGATACTTATGCTGTGCTTAGGGGATTGCTGCAGTGATTGGCACAAGCAAAAGTCAACAATAAACTTTCATCTAATCTGCCACTCTTGTACCTGAGTTTCTACATACTAAAAGTTGTGGATCTAAAATTATATGCTTGTATTTACATACTTAAAAATACCAGTAATACTTCCAATAGTTAGGTATCATCTCCGATACTTATTTTTCCTAAGGAACCTTTTCACCCAGTATCTTATCACCAAATGATATAAGGGCTTCACATTCTTTTCCTGGGTTTGGGATTTGGGGATTTTATTTCCCTTGCAACAGAGACTGCTGTTCTGTAGGAAAATAGAGTATTAATGCAGTCATACTCATCCCAGTTATATTCTAAGCTTCCTAAGATTCAAAATAAGATTCAAAAAATCCAAGAATTAAATTGTACTCATGTATCTCCATTTTATGTTGTTTATTATAGCTGGCTACAGTATATATTTTACATATGTGTTGTGTATATGATATATAATTTTGTAGTACAGTTTATAACATCCTTGATTTTTGTTTTATTGGTAGTTATTTTTACAATTAAACATTTTACTGCTTATCCTACTGTTAACTTTTTTGGTGGTTGTTATAGCTTAGTTATTTGCAAAACAAACTTACTAAAAGTGAAGTTTATATGCCTTCTGAGTCTTTTTCTATGCATTTTTTTCTTAAAATTATTACAGGCATTGATTCACCAGTGAAACTTGAAAGTTTAACTGACATAATTCAAAAGAAAATTGAAGAGACAAATGGACAGTTCCTTATTGATCAAAGTGAAGAACCCTCCCCACCTCCTTGGGCTACAATCTTTGATGGTAATCATGAAATGGTCATCCACAAAAAGGTATTGTCCCCTGAAAGTGAGCCAGCACAAGATGGGAAAAGGAAAAAGAGACGAGCTCCTCTTCCTCCCTCTGATAAGCCTCCATTCAGCTTCAAAACACAGAGCAACACAGATCCATCCGTGAAGGACAACTGGGGAAAAACAAGTGTGTCTCCAGCCTCGCCTTTGGACACCAGACTTTCTAACCTTATGCACCACTTACAGAAACCAGTCGCTTCTCCTCGAAAACTTCCTCCTGCCAGGAAAAGTAGTTTAACTGATGGTGAGCACAGAGACACTAAAAACAATTTTGAAACTAAGCCAGTACCAGCTCCAAGGCAGAAATCCATCAAAGACATTTTGGACCCTCGATCATGGTTGCAAGCACAAGTATAGAAAACCTTTACTGTATAAAACACTTAACAAAAATCTATAACTGGAAGGCTTAATTCAGAGGCATTATAAATGTAAAGTTACATAATTGTACAGGTAAATATGATAGCAATTTACATACATAATTAATAAGCTACTAGGTACAGAAAACTATCTTATAATGAAGGAATACGTTTCTATTTTATTTCTGATTTTCAGAATATAAGTGGTTTTTCCCCATAGAGTATAAGAGGCGGTTTCTAGACAATATCCTAATTGTTGGAAGGGTTAATTTATGCCAAAATTAGTACCAGGCAGTGAATAAGCACTAGGCAGAAGAAAGCATTAACATTTCTTTTGGGGAGAGACTGTCTAGTAATTTAAAATGTGTTAAATATGAGCCATATTCTCATTGTGAGAATTTTAATACTAATGGAATGTTTCAAAGGTTTTATTCAAACCACAAATTATAGAATCCACCCAAGAAAATGTTCTTGTTAGCATTCTGGAATTCTCATCTAATGCTTCACTGGCTCACATCTATTGTTTAACTCTCTCGTTTATAGGCTTGACCTTTTAAATTCCTGGGATAAATTTTGGAATATTAGATTCTTTGTCTTTAAGGGGAATTTGTAATACACTATTCTCAGTAGTTTCCTTGATGAGCCCTGAAATCCTGTTGACATTAACTCTCCTAAGTGAAGCATAACATTTATTAGTTTAGAGAAATGGTAGATGAAATGTTCCTTACATGCACTTTTCTGTGTGTGGTGTTAATTTCCATTGTGCCTTTGGAATTTGGGAAAGTGAGTATAGCCGATTAACACTTTGAAATGTATTTAGTACTTACTTAAAAAGCAGATGGAAGATTCAGAAATAGTGGAAAAATTGGTTATCGTAATCATTTTCAGGATTAATCCTTTTAAAATTTTTAATTAGATTTCCTTTTTCTAGTGAAGGTTGCTGTCTGCTATAGATATTATTCATAAAGTCATATTCTTACAATAATACCTTAGAATCATTTCCATAGGAGGTAATTTCCATAGTAACTAATCATACTGACCCAAACAGGATTATGAAATCAAGTGAGAAATAAATAGCAAGGGAATGAATATCTTAAAGGAACAAAAAAATACATTTTTGTAATACTCTTCTTATAAACAAGAGCTGAACAGTTTTAAAAATCAAATCAGAGTTTCCAAATAAAAGTTTCCATAAGGTGTCAGCAACAGCACTAAACATCTCCAGTCACACTGAACCCTAAGCACCATTGCCAGAAGTAAAAATGTAAGAATGAAATTACTACTCTGTGTATAATCTCTGGAGATCTTTTTTTAAAGGTGTTAAGAACTCTATTTGGACCAGACCTACATTATTACAAAACAAAATGAACCCTTGATGAAAAATAAGCATTAATTTAAATGGAGCCTTTTATTACTTTTAGATAGCAGAGTCTTTTTTCATTTCTAGAGCATGATGTAACTACAAGGTTACTTTGTGTTTTTCCAGGACTCTTAGTAAGAATTGGAACCCAAAGGGAGGGGAGTAATGATAAAAAGGACTCTTGTGATTGGGGACAGAAGGACAGACCTAGCCCTTGGAGAGAACAAAATGCTGTTTGCTTAGCCTGGTAGAATTAATTTAGAGACTATCTCATGTGTGAAAACAGAACGTAGATGAATTTATTTTTTCTAACTATAGAAGGCTCTCAGAAATGTCTTATTATGATTACCATTTCAGTAAATGACAGGCTAAAAAAAAAAAGCTAAGGAATATTACTGTTTGAGTTTATTTTCAACCATAGCTGTTCTTCTTGACACATTTGTAGCAATTGTTGCCACTAAATTTTGTATTTAGAAGATGCTGCAGGCAAAATTGCTGCTAATACTGGCAGTGGAGCATTCCTTTGCCCCTCTTCCTGTACTATAAACCATGATCGAAACTTCCAAATGTTGCCATTATTATTTCTAATCATACATATCACAGCAGGAAGAAGCACATTGTAGAAGAGGGAAAATTTATTTGTAGAGAACTTCCCTAGAAGTTGTGTTCTCAAAGGGAACTGTGAAAAAGTGAAATCTTTCTAGAGCCACTCAGGTGAAGCCTGACCAAGGCCTCTTCACCTTCTTACTAAAGGTCACAAAGCACTTAAATCAGACTGCAATCTTCCACTCTCTTTTCTTTGACCACTGCCTTCCTTAACCAGCAATTTCACACTTTCCCTCTCTTTTATCTTCCTCCTATTTCCCTCACACACACAAGAAAAACAACCTTAAAACTACTAAGTTAAAAATTGTCAAGAAGTTTTCATTTGTTTTTCTCATTTCCTAAACCAGAAATTTATGATAGAGAAATATTTCTTGTAATATGAAAGATGTTGCAGTGTTTTATGATCTGGCTTTTCACATTCCTTATTTGCCCTTTAATTTGTCTCTTGATGTAGGAAGACCATAAACTTGAAACGCAGAGTTAGTTGTCAGATCTTGATAATAATATTATAATTAGAGAAGCATAATTGACAGAATAGATATTTTATGATAGCATGATAATGTTGATGATCTGAAGATAATGTCTTAGACAATTACATTTACATTTCAAGGTCTAGAATATAAATTACAACAGCATTTAAAGTGGTATTACTTGTTACAAAGTAGTTGGTTTTATATTCTACCATCTTGCAAAAACATAGTACATTTTTAAAATTCTAAATGTATACTTCCTAAGGTAAACAAGCAGTCTTTAGAAAGTATTAGGCATGTCAGCTCTTGCTGAGTGCTGCTAAATCCTCTTTAACCCTCTGGAGTGCTTCTCCCCCCCTCCCACCCACCCCCTACCCCTCACACCAACACTCAAACACCTTACTTCCTTAAAATGCATGCAAATGTATGTGAAAAACTAAATCCATTTATTATAAATGCCTTATCTTTACCCTTTAGATTGTATTGTACCTGGTACTATTTATTAAAAATAGAAGCTGCCTTGATTTAGAGACAACATGTAAGGTGGGTTAAGTAGTCAAGTGTTTCTTCAGGCTTCTGTTCCGCACCTCAGCCACCTACTGTGAAGTTAATTAATTCAGTCCAAAATGAAATTCTAGGGCAGTTTGGTGCAGTTTATGTTAAATGCCATTTGAATGTAATCATCTGCACAGGAATGGGGAGCAACCGTATCAGATAGAGAATGCTGAAACACAGATGAGAAGAAAAATGCTTTGCAGAAAAATGATCTGTCCCTGTGTCAGAATTTATCAAAACTCAGAGTGAATTATTGAACAGTAGTTAAATTTTAATTGATGACCATTTATATTTTAATAGTTGCCTTCTCTGTTCAAGTTCTAAACTGTAATGTAGATAGAGTAGATGTTTTATACTTAGATTTCAATGCATTGAAATTCTAAAACATCTATGTGTTTAACTGCTTTATTGCTAACAATAATATATGTGAAAATGCTTTATGGATTATGCATTTTTTAAGTTAAACCTAAGGATTTTTTGTTTGGCATTTCAGGCAGGCATTGTTCATAATTTTTTAATTAATAGTGTGACGTTGATCAAGATGCATTATACTCACAAAGTGACATGTTGAAACTCCTTAGTATAACTACTTAAGGATAATAAAGAAATTTTAAGAGAGTCAGTAACATTTATTAATTAAAAAGTACTAGATCTCAGACTTAAAAATCAAAGATATTTGGTTAGGAAACTTAAGTCTCCTAGTGATTCTTTTTTTTGTGTTGGTTGTGGGGCTTGAACTCTGGGCCTGGCCACTGTCCCTGAGCTCTTCAGCTAAAGGCGAGTGTTGTACCACTTGAGCCACAACGCTACTTTCAGTTTTCCAGTGGTTTACTGGAAATAAGAGTGTCATGGACTTTCTTGCCCAGGCTGGCTTTGAACTACAATCCTCAGATCTCAGCCTCCTGTGTAGCTAGGATTATAGGTCTGAGCCACCAGCACCTGGCTTCTAGTGATTCTTGAAAACATTTCCTGCCATTTTTCCTTACGTCCTCCCTCTGGTCTAGATTGATAGAGGTGGACAGTGTGATAGAGTTGGTTTAATCACAGAAAGACATATACAGTAGCTGGTGTTAGTCCTTACAAGACTATACTCAGATTGCCTTTGTATAACTAACATATTTAAATGTTTGCATAGAATCTTCCTTAAAATGTATATACCCTTTTAAAACAAAATCCATCAATGTTACCTTGCTTTTAGCTTAGTGATAGAGAATTTCCCCAGTGATTAAATCCCTGATAACAAATTATGTACCTAGTACATTACAAGAAGTCTTTATTTTTCATTCATACCCTTCCATACTTAATTTATTCCCATGGAGTATTTGAAGGAGTGGGGGACAGAATGAGTATTCTTGGCTCAATTATGCAATTTCTAAGGCAGTAATGTGATTATAAATATTTGCCAGAGCTATTCAGAAAACAGACATGCACACACACGCACGCACACACACACATACATACACATGCACACACAAACTGCTTTTTCACTAGGGAGAGAAGCCTAAATCAGTGTGCTTAGATAAACAAAATACTAAGGTTGAGTTAACAATAAAGCAACTTAGCACAAAATTCTTTTAATGTTTTTCTTTTGGGGAGTACAGGAAAACATATTAAAATTGACATTTGATAAGGAAGATTGTGCCAAATTTTACTGAAGTTGTGTTTCCAGTTGTCCTGGTATTCTGTTAGTGTACCTATGAGGGAGAGATAAACTACAAAGATCTCATTTACGTAATTATGCCATGTCACAGCCATGTTTCAAGATACCTCAATTTTGTTGAAAATTTGTATCAAAATATTTATGTTTATGTACTCCAAACAAAGTTTTATCTTTGTGAATGAGTCTATTTTTTATTGACTTAGCTCTCTTAATAAACATATTTTAACTTAGCCACAGGAAGTTTACAGCTTGCACATGATAAAGAAAAGTATTAAGAATTATCCACTTAAATATTAAAATACATTCATCCTATAAATGTGAAAGATTAAAAACTGTATAGAGATGTTATGTACATACATGTTACATACATTTTGTTAGGTTTTTCTTTTCAGATATTTTCAATTAGTTTTTTTTTGGGGGGGGGGTCTGGTCGTGGGGCCTGAACTCTGGGCCTGGGCGCTGTCCCTCAGCTCTTCAGCTCAAGGCTAGCGCTCTACCACTTGAGCCACAGCACCACTTCCGGCTTTTTTCTTTTTGTTTACGTGGTGCTGAGGAATGGAACCCAGGGCCTCATGCATGCAAAGCAAGCACTCTACCACTGAGCCACCTTCCCAGCCCTCAGTTAGTTTTTAAAGATTCTTTTCAAGTGCTTTAAGGGTAGCAAAGTAAAGATCTGAGCCACTCTTCATGATTTGCAGAAATCCTTGCAACTCAGCTGTAACCTCGCCCCACCCTCTTGGGCTCTTTACCTTCCGACCCTCTTTTAGACAGGACCTGCAGTCTTTATCGGTTCTGCTCTGGTAATTTTCTTACATTGCATTTTATAAGCCTAGGAAAACTTCCTCCTCTCTCCTTAGGCAAACCTCCCCTCAGCCACAACCAGCAAAATGA